AAAAAAAAAAAAAAAAACGAGTCGGGAATATTCAGGAGATGGATGAATGAAAAAAAAAAGAAGAGAGCAATAGGCAAAAAATATCTCGCTGGGCATATTTCTGCGGGGCTGTCAACTCACGAGAAGGATCTTTTGGAATGAAGTCGACGGTCCTATTCTTGCAGCGAACGTTTTCCCCGGTCCCGTCGATCCACACGTAGAGCACCCGCACCTTGTCCTTGGGCTGAGGGATGCTCATGTACTTGGCAGTCACAGTCTTGTTCAGACTGGTCGACGCCGACCCGCCTAGCGACATCATCTTGAATCTTTCAATGGAAGGAGAAAATATGAAAAAAAAAAAACCAAAAATTGAAGACAGAGAAGCAGTATGGGTTGACTGACATATGGAAATACAGCACATTAGTGAGGTAATTATCTCCTCTATCGGGGAAGCGACTTATTTCTACTTGAGTCTTTTCTCTTTGATAGGATGCCATTCGCTCTGTAGCCCGGGTTAATGTATTGTCGGGAAAACACAAACATATACAGTACTTTTGCTTTCTTTAAATTAAAACTTTGCCTCGCTGTTATCAAGTCACATGATTGTACCGCAAGTTGTTAGTAAATCAGCTTTTTAAGAGTAGTACTTCGATTGGTTTTCGAACTTTGTGAATCTTCTACTTCCTTTTCTGAGGGAGTTTCTTTATTTTACATTCTTCAATATAAATGTTATTCACATTCGATTGCCATTTCGAAGAATTTTTCGAACACTGTTCATATTTTAAAGTACCTATTGTTGCATGTAAAGTATTATGTCGTTAAAAAATGAGAATGTAAAGTGCACAACATCAAATACTTGAGCTAGGGAATGAGCTTTACCCGCCACTTTATCTTGTTTCATGAATATTCTTTATGTAGCTTATTTGATTCTAAAAAATATAACTCCAAAAAAATAATCTGTATCACCATATCCGAGAATATCATCACCAAGCTGTTTTGAAGGACGTCTATCATTAATTTTTATTTATTAAACAGTATTCGGAACATGACTGATTTGTTGACAATGGCTGTCTCAAAACTAGACTCATTCGTGGCTGAAATTTAAAAAAAAAACTCAAAAAACGGAACAAGTATACTTGGATTAATGTATGCTTTAATGAATTTGCTTTAAACGCCTATTTCATGGCGGTTTTGAAAATGCTTTTCAGTGAAGTTGGTGATCAAATGAACTTTCTTCAAAAAAATTTCATCAACTTTTGAACCTCTTTCGTATTTTCAAGATTTCGATTTTCATGACACTTCAACTGTTGGAACTTTCCTCAGCCTATCAGCAGTGATTTACAGTATATGCTTATTATTAGTGCAGTGAATGCCTTGTTTTAAAATTCTCTACAGCTAGAAGAATTTTTAAAATTAAAAAAATGTCGGAAGAGAATAAATGATAAATAAATGAATAAATAAATGGAAATAACGAGGCAAAAGATGCTGAGTAAGATCAATTCAGTATACTATATATAAAAGCATGTAAGTTGAATGGAAAAAAACATCATGCAATTGAAAGATCAAACGGAAGACTCGCGAGAAAAAAGTTTAGCTTCTGTGCAAAAAATTTAAATGTTCAAACGCGTGTCTCGACAGATTTAGTATCCTTTTCGGAATAAATTTAAATCAACGCAGCTACAAACTTGTCAACGAAAAAAACGACGTGCGACTTACTGAATAATCACGGATTTATTTGCTGGCTTCAATAAGCAGCTGATAATGCTTCTTCTGAGGAACCCCGACATTCTGTTCCTCTCTCTTTCTTTCAATCACAGATAAATTCGAAACTATTTCTCACTCAACGTATCACGGATGTGTTGCAACAAAACAAGATCAAAGAAAAAAAACAATTGCGTTGTGCACTTGTCAAGTGCAACAACAAACCTGCACATTTCAAACAGTTTGTGGGAAAAAAATATGTACGTCTTAGTGCTTTACAATGTACACGATGTGCTTTTCATGCAGGACATGCTATACTGCTTAAAGCTTACCAACGAACAACAAAGCTTGCGAAAGCTTCGCAAGAAAATTATGCAGATTCTGATGTATAAATCAATCGCTAGTTCACTCACGTCTGAATGACCCAATTGTAACAGTCGATCACACTTGGTCCATAAAAATTTTATAACCGACTGAAATTTCGTCTAAGGGAATAAGTTAAACGTAGTGAAGGAACTGAGCGAAAGTGACTGACTGGGGTTGGATCTTTTTCTCTTCCCTCGGCTTATTTTTATTCAAATATATTTTTT